TAAAATGAGGGCTGATAATAGTCTTAAATTTGAAGGCCTTTCGCGTATTGAGGCTATTGAATTATTAGAGTCCAATGGCTTTGAAAGATTTACGGACGATAAAGATAACGATAAAGGCGATAATGACGATAAGGATGCAACTGATATTGACTTTGACGTTTCTCATAATGATCATGGATATGATTATATGATGGATTTTTCGGTGTGGAAATTTGGTAAAGAAAACGTAAGTCTTCTGATATAAAAATACTGTGAATTAAGAATATCTTGATAATTGTATGTTCTTGTTCGTATTAGGAGCAAAAAATCTTGAAGATGAAAGCCGTGAAAGAAAAAGAACTTAGAGATCTTAGAAGGAAAACACCTCAACAGTTGTGGATAGAGGATTTAGATTGTTTTATTGAATCTTGGGATGTAAGTTGTGAATTTATATATATATACATACTTATTTATTTATCTTAAAATAGTAAATAATCATAATAATAAAATAATTTTTTTTTTTTTTTTTTTTTATTGCTATTAAATATATTACAGAATATTCTAAGCCAAAAACAATTTATAACAAGGGAAGTCCAAGTGAAACCTACTGAAACTATTGAAATTTCGCCGAAATCAAAGAAACGATCATTATCTATTGATGAATCATCTGACGACAAAGTGGAAAAGAAACGACCATTACTCATTGGATCGGTTGATGACGCGAGAGAAAAGAGAAGATCATTTTCAATTGATGAATCGTTTGATAATAAAGATATTCATGAACTTAACGAAGATATTGAAGAAGTAAGTAAAGGTGCATCATTAATTCAAAAAGATAATGAGAACCTTGATAAAAGGAAGAAACGAGGTAAAGGAAAAAACAATAAGGTGAAAAATCATGTGAAAAAGAATGTTATATCTACGCCCGTTATTATTGACGACGATGAGTATGTGGAGTCTGAAGAGGTCTCAGAAAGACCTAAAAAACGTCCTCGTCGATCAACCGCAAAGCAAATGAATTATGTGGAATTATCTGATGATGAAAATACTTAGTTATTTTATAAAGTAATATAATCTTTAAATATTCTCTGTAATTATTTGAATCGCAAAAGTATTAAATGCCGAATTTTTTTTCCTTTTCTTAAAAGGTATGACCTTAAGGTGAAGATTTTCACATGAGAAGTTATCAATAATAATAAAACAAGAAATTTTCGTGTTCGATTTATTGCTCTGTTACAATATAATAAATAAATTTAAATAAATATGCAGTTATTTTTGTCAATAAGAGAGATGATTCGTGGTATTTTTTTTTTTAAATTGCAAAGAACCATAATAGGTTCACAATCCATATCATCAGGAAAAAACTTTTTTCAAAATTTCACCCGTTCTTTGATTTTCGTATCATTGTTAGTCCGGAATCCGCCCGCTCAATAATTGAGTCGTTGCTGATTGGCTTTGACAATTGCTAGATTAAGGTCCCCGTTCCCTAGTTATATGGGAGCGTTGCCAGTAACGTAATCACGTGACATTCGTAAGATCACCGTATTAATCACAGAAATCATCGCCCATCTCTGTTATTCATTCTCCTTCAGACAAGCGTATGTCGCGCTCAGCAGGTCTTCAACGTGGGAAACGTGAACATCTCGAATATAGCGAACTTGTTGTAGGAGCTGGTAGAAATCGTTGTGTTGTTATTGGGAACTTTTCAAAAATAACGGATAAAATTTTGACTAGACGACCGCGCAACCAAATACAGCCTAAATTTTTGAATTATTATTTCATCATTAACTTTAAAGTTTTTTATGCTACTAAAATTTTGATTCTCTACACTTATTTTGTAGAAATTTAAAAAGTTATTTAAAAGTTATTTGTTTATTAAAACTTTAATAAAGATTATATCTTTT